GAATAAAAATAAATCCTGCCAAAGCCACAAAAGAACAATTGTGGGGTTACGCTTTGAACCCAACACAAGACGAGTTGGCAAAGAATGGCATGGATTTACAGATGAGTACAACAAAACTTCAATTCTATCAAAGACGGATAAGCATCCAATGGAGGTACGAATCATGAATGAATGAACAAGTGCATGGATGCCTTATACATTCTATCACAAAACAAGGTTAACTAGAACCAAGATGATGTTTAACAAAGCAACTGGAATCAAAAGGCAAATTTTAGCAATTAACAAGAGTTAAAAGCTAGACCCATCAAAAGACATGTAAGAATCTCAAGAATTGCAACAGAATAAAATCAATGGAAAATATGAATGCTTGGAAGAATATCGGAACACAAGAGTGCAAGGTAGAATGCCTCAAAGAATTCAGCAACAAAATGGCATTCACCTAGAGTCAAGATCAAATTTAACCAAGCAGTCAAAATTGAGAGACAAGAGTTAACCATGAAACAAGCAATAGAATTCCAAAAATTAGGCCCACAAGAGATTCCAATAATGACAATCTGAACATGGATTCAAGAGCAGATATAACCAGGAGATCAAGATTTAGCACCTCAAGTACTAGAATTAATTAACAGAACAAAGCAATGACTGGGATCAAGATGCTTAGAAGATTCATGTCTTCTAATTACAAGGGCAAACAAAAATCCAAGCAGCCAGATCAAAGAACCATTTCACTTGGAACAAAACTCTAGGGCATCAAGTATTTCAAGGACTACCCCTTTACCTCGTAGCTCATGGAGGCTACAATCTGTTTAGCCTAGACATCCTAGAGTCAAGTCAAAGCTAGGACATCAAGAATGCAGAGATTAACACTTGCAAGAGACAAGAATCAGGATGCCTCATATAGGTATTTCGTCACCCCTCCTAAGAGGTGTCCATATGAACAAAAATCAAGAATCAAGAAGATCATCAAGTATACTGACACAAGAACTAGCAGAATATGCAGGACTTAAGCAAGAGCAGTATACAGACTTTGAGCAAGAGCCAGTGTTAGAACAAGAGCATTTTCAAGGACAACTCAAACTAGATTTCCAAGAACAATGCAAGAATCAATTTCAGACAAGTATCAAGATAATGAGGATTTAAATAATCATTATCCATTTCCTTTGGATTTCAGTTTCAAGAACAAGTACAAAGCAATCTCAAGAAAGATTCAAGATGGATTTCAAGAGTTTCAAGCAATTTCCAGATATCAAGAATGTAGAGATTGGCAACAATAAAGAGTTAAATTTTATGACAGCTTGCCAATCGTCACAAAAACATGGCAAATTCAATTGAATGATCACTGCTCTTGATTAACCAATACAGAAAAATGAGCCACATGAAAAGACCACAAAGCTCCAAATGGAAAAAAGTGAAACTTCACTATAAGACTTTCAGAAGATAAGGAGCAACAGAATTACCAAGTAATCCAACTCCTAAAACGCAGCTAGAAAACACACAACATTTGCTAAAATAGCCTGGAATCTCTTACAAAGTAGAGGGTTTACCCATCCTCCACTGGTCATGTGACAAACAAAACAAATTCTCCACCAGCTATGCTGTAGAGACTAACAGGATCAATAACAAAAGCCTCTGCAACTCCCCAGATTTCACAATTGTGGCAAAAGAGCACACAAAAATTCTATTCACGTAACAAGCCTAAACAAGTGCGGACTATCAGAAAATGACCAAGTTCAAAACAAGGTCTTCAGGACATAACGGGCAAGATTACTTTCACAACTTCACACAGAGTATGAAGGCAAGAAACAAGAACAATCAAATCACCATCTCATCGAAATGGATGAGAA